GGCTTTGGCTGGATCCACCACATGGTAATATGAGCTCTCAGTGAGTGATTCATAGATTTCTACTCATAAGCAAACTACTGTGGGATACTTTGAATCTCATCCATATGACATAATTGCAGCAGGAGACTGGCTGCTTTTTGGCTTCAGTAACATCATTTCTGCTCCTGTTGTTTTTCTTTTGTTTGCCAAACGAACTTGTTTAGCACAACTTGGATTCAAAGGATGCAAGAGTAAGAAGCTGTTTCTTTAAGAACTCTGTTGTTGCAGCACCAGTGGAAAGTGATAAGGGTCTCGTGGGGTTTGATTTGACAGGAGGAAGGCAACTCGATTCAGTTCAACAACAAATGACCTCATAGCGTTTGGTTTTCAGCATTGAGGCATGGGACTCTGTTGGTTTTTTGACAAGGTGATTTGGGACCATTTATTATTTGTATGTCTCATTTCTGATTTATTTTATAACCCAATGCAACTTGTAAGCATTGTTAAACAATGTGATAATTCAGGTTTGAACATGTAACATCTTACCTTTTTGTGGCTCTTTGAACAGCCTCAGTAGTTTTTGTTCTGACTGGATTGATGAACTAATGGCTTGTTTGAGTGGGGCAGTGATCAAAGAGGATTTCAGCTGTCCTAAAACAATCACAGTCTCAAAAATGTTGTGGTGGTTTATGCAAAAGTTTATTTTATAAACCTTTACGTTTCTGTCAGTTTTACATTACACAGTTATTRRCATAGAATTCTGTGGTTATTTACAAGCACAAACAAGCTATCGGCGAGTGCAGCCTTGGGCACTTCCTGTTGGAATATTATATTTCTGCTGAGGGTTGACCAGTATGAGTTTTTCTGTTTCTGATGCCAATCATTAGGAATCAGGGCAGCACCTATTGTCAGTGTACAGCACAGAGTATTTGTTTTGGTTTAGTTAGGGTTTGGCRTAATTATATCGTGGCAGCACAATGGCTCAGTGGTTAGCACTGATGCTTCACAGCAAGAAGGTCCTGAGTTCGATCCCCGGTTCAGACATAGGGTCTTTCTGTGCAGAGTTTGCATGTTCTCCTCATGCTTGCATGGGTTTTCTCCGAGTACTCCGGTTTCCCCCACCCACAAAAACATGCACAGTAGGTTGCCTTCAGGCCTCCCTTGAAGAAGAGATCTGCGATCTCAATGGGACTTGCCTGGTTAAATAACGGTAAATAAATAAAATAAGAAATGAATCATCAGAAAAACATTGATTATTTTTTGGCACTTGATGATTAATACGATTAATGCCACCAGGTAGATTGAGTGGGGATTTCTCCAGTCAATCCGCTTCAAATATGAACATTTAAAAAAGTTCTGTAATTTATTTATCTATAAACACAATTTAAAATTAGATGTATAGCCTGAAGTCTGTAATTTTGACACTATTTAAAAATATTTTTATGAAGAGCAAATCTTTCCCACTAAATTGCTCATGTGACTAGGACATAAGGGTGTCCAGGGACTCCAGGGGATTAATCGACAAATTAATTATCGACTAAATACCACAATTAATCGTGATTATGTTTTTTGCCAGTATTGCCCAACCCTAGTTTTAGTTTAGTATTTGGCTAATGGGTATTTTTCATTTAACCAAGCAACTCCAACTCTAACAACACCTGCCCAMTTTRAATAAACATCTATTTAACAACTCTTAAAATAAGTTTTGAACATTTTGATTGGGCTTTAACAAATCCCATCACTACAATCTACAACAAGTAAGATATTTACTGTTCATGATCTTTCCCCAGAATCCCACTTGAAAAGATCAGAATCATCCTTTCAAAAGGTTGCTTACTTTCTCAAAATAAATAAATAAATAAACAAAYATTGAAAAGTCAAGCAGAGATTTCTGTATAGCTCTGGGTCGGAGTCATTAAAAAAAAAAAGCACTGAAAGCATCGAAATAAAATCATGAAGGTTTTTTTTCTCTATAGAATTTTTTTTTCACGCTGTCGGCTCGGTTAGTTTCCACTTCTGTGTTCATCGAGTTCAGATTAAAAACATGAAGGTCACACTGTTTCACGCTCAGGTTGTTTTGTGAAATAGTTTCCTCTTCAACAAACACACGGTGGTCGTCACGAATGGAAACGACACATCCTTAACACTTTGTGCGCCTTCTGTGTTTATGCCACGCCGAGGTGTGCCCCCCCCCCCCCCCCATCTGCGCCGGGATCCCAGTCCAGAGACAAGAGCGAGACTAAACATGGATTTCATGTAGGAGTCACCCGGGGGCAGAGAGAGAAGAATGCCAGGTCRTGGGGTGTTCCGAGCAGCACCGGGGTGGCAGTGGTCCCTTGGCCTTGGAGCAGATGGCCTATAGGAAGCCTTTTTGACAAGAACAGAGGCCTGACGGGACAGAGGGAGGGAGAGTTCAAGATTTGGCACAGTAGTTTGCTACTAAAARGAAGACTTGTCTTGTTCTCTTTCTCCAAAAAAAAAAAATCTGCACAATACGCCGGTTCAGATTGCAGCAGAAGGCAGATGTGTGCATCTTGGGGTTTGTGTGTTGGCACGCCTTTGAGYCTTTTTATACTCTGCAGTGCTTAGCCCGAATAAACTTTGCAAGAAAAGCATCAGTAGTGGTGTTAAAAGAAAGCAGTCACTGTGACAAGCTCGACAAGCGGCTTTATCTTGACACTTGGTGTCGTCGACAGCTGCTTTCTCAGTCTTCATTCATGAAAAAGAATTGTAAAGTATTTTTCATTCACGTAGAGGCGTTTTGACCCAATTTGCCCTAACTTATTTGCCTCTGGTTGTGAAAATCTCTTCTTCTGCCTCACTTGATGTATTGCAAAGTGGTTGTGTTAACTGGGAAGAGAAATTGAGTAAGAAAATMTTCCATGTTTGCTTTAGGGTTAAAAAAAGGATATCAGATGATTTAAAGTTGAGGTTAGACCACTCAGTTCGATCACTATGTAACCATAATACTTGCGTTTTGTCTATGATTCGATGGCTCCATGACTTCAAAACAACCATCATGGCAAAGATTAAAATTATCTKGGTGTTCTTGCCGGAGAGCTGCTTTAATACATGGGTTCAGAATTATAGGTTGCCTCACTGCTGGTGTGAAGTTTAACAAATGACGAATGAAGCTCCTGTTGAGTAAATCTCTTCATCAGTCCAGAGTGATGCTTTAGGTTTATCACCAGACCTGTAGGTCTACAGATGAGTTTCCACTAGAGAATAATTTCCTTGCGGTTTCTATAATACTGTCTTCTATTTTCCAACTAGTTCTTTGTCTTGTTGTTAAACCTCAACAACCCTCGAAGATAAAATAAAAAACAAGAACTCTTAAAGGAATGTATTTTGTCTACCACTGTTCATGTCATCTTCAAACTAAGATGTTCTGCTGAGAAATGACGGCTGTTTAAAACTAACATTGTGCTTGATCTCCTACAGTATCTCAACATGTGTTAGCACTTGGAGTACGTGTTGAGCATGACTGTTGGCTTCAACCACTTAACTGTGGCAGCCATCTTTAATTTGATCACAATATAAATGTTTAAAATCAGTTGATATTGATATTTGATTCCCCCCCCCCCACCTTTTTTCTACCTATTTGAAATAAAGAACAGGAGAAAAAAAAGGCTAATAATACGGCCAAACTAGTGACATGACCTATCTATCCTCTTTTATCCACAATTTCCTCTCGAGTTGTTGCACTCATTTTCTCTTTTCACCCTAGTTTACCAGAGTGGGAGAGTTAGTTGACACCACAAACCTTGCTTAGCTGGCCTGTAAGAGGTCAAGTGGCTAAAGCAAGGGTGTCAAACTCATTTTCACCGAGGGCCCTGTGAGCGTCATGGTGGCTCTAAAAGGGCTAGTTGTAATTAACTTTTSACGGTTCGTCTTTTAACTTCAACTGAAMMGAAAACATCACATTCCTCRTCACATTGCTACACTTAGCACTGCTAACAAACATTAACTGAGCTCTACGTGRTATTTCATACATAGAAACAGCATCTTCTCAGTTCAGTTATATATATAAATTGTCCTCAGATAGTGACCACGTGTCTATCAAATTATATATTATAATATTATTGTCAAAACTAGTTGATATACCTTTTCCAGAATTTTATTTTGCTAACAATCATCCCTTTTTGATAGACAGTAGTCCATTTACTCTTAATCTCACCTCACACTCTGAGTTTATCCAAACAGACACAGTTAAACTTTCTGTAAAGCTGCAGATCATCTAATCCAGAAGGTCAGGACTGTTGGCTGTGGGATATTTACACTGTAACCTTACACACGCTGTACGTACGCTGCCCAGCTTAGCGGAGTTAGCGCTGCTGGGCAGCACTCTCTTGAGTTTGAACAGCATGTGTGCAGGTAGATTACGTTACACACAAGATACCGCAAGATCCTCGGTGGGTCTGCAAATATCACTCCGTCCTCCTTGACCTGGATCGCAGCCTCAGACAAATTTGGCAGTGATGAGTGGAAGAGAGGGACGGGGAAAAAACCCCAGAATGAGTGAGAATTCCAAGGTTTAAAAATAAACAGACGGTTAAACTTTAGACTGCTTTGAAAAACTTTCTCCAACCTGATGAACGATGACGTTATTTAATGTGGGGAGGTGGAAAAATGCAACATTGGTTTGGAAAGCCATGTGTTGGATTTTGAGGAGGAGGAGTGATTTTTTTTATGTTGGTCGTGCTGTACACGGTGCYACTACTCTACTGTACTGCCTCGACAGTTCAGGGTTTAGACAAGGTGGCTTCCCCGTTAAAAAATAAAAAACTTTAAACCTTTGACTAAATCTTTATGTGTTGTTTTCCCAGGTAATTGTGTAACCTCTGTGTTTAATTGTTGCTCYAATTTGTTAATCTGACACAAACACCTTGTGCCAAAACACTGTTCTTGGCAACAAGCTGGAGATTAAGTCTGCTCTTAAAGTTATTGAACAAGGAATCATTACACAAAGTAAATTACAGTAGAGTTTGAAAAGACTTAAGTCAACTTTCTTTTTGTTTCAGGTGAGTTAGACGACWGAGGAATGACATTTTATTTTAAAAATGAGGCATCTGGACTGAATCGAGGCATTTGAAAAGGTAAGCCTAACAGCTGTTCTCTTCATAAACAGATAATTAGTAACATAAAGTCTTCTTTTTGTTTTCATCATGGAAAAAGTTTGATTAACTTGGGTTTGAAAAGTATTTTTTTTATTTCTAACCTGCTTGTGAGCTAATTTAAAGGCTTAGTGTTGACCTGTACCTGTTATATAATCCCATCACAAAGCCCAACAGAAACAGACTGTCTATTTCCAGCAGCGGCATTCTGCTGCAGTTCATGTTGTACGCTCTAGAGATGAAATGTGTATCTGGTCACGGCTCTTCGTCTTCAATGTAAACGTGTTTTTGGACAGGTTGAAAGAGAATTTTCACCTTCCTGAGCATTGCTGTACTTAACAACCATGACAGTCTAAAGCCTGTGTGTTCCACTCAAGTTCCTTTTTTTAGACTGCTTGGAAAGATGATGTGGTAGAATGATTAAAAGGTAGACCTTATCTATTAATAACTAGGTCTTATAGAATTATGTAATCTCTTTGAAAGATATTTGGAAAGTATTCAACAAGTAGGTTTTTCACTTTGGGAACAGTTGCTGCAGATTTAACAATAATCTACAGGTGCATCTTTATTATATGGTATGATGTGTTTTTTATTTATTTTGGAATAATAAACACATTTTCTCTCGTATAAGAAGCCGTTGCATAAGATGTCATAAGCTGTAAAAATCAGAGCCTATTCTAAATTAGATCTTGAGTGTGCCAGGTCTTTGTTGGATTTTGTCCCTGGTTTTAAATATATTAAATTCAGCTACTGCCCATTTGCTTTAGATATAATTTTAGTCCAGACAGTTCTTTTATCTTTCTCATTTTTAGGCATAATGTGCTGTTATGGTCAGGTGCATGGACTGGACTAAAAATGAGAGAAAGTGGAAAATAAAGTTATTAATCAACACCACTTTAAAAGGTTTTAAAAGACAAAGTATAAAGAAAGGCTTATGCACAGTTCTGTATATTACACTGCCCTTTTTGATTCCCACAAGTTTCCCAAACATTTGGCGCAGGCAATGTTTCTGATTATGTTTACTTTTCTTCTGTTTTTCCAGTCCAAGATGGGGAACTCAGAGAGCCAGTACAGCATYGACGGTTCGAAAGGCACAAGCTTCATTTTGTCAAAGAAACAGAAGCCATATTCTCTGCAGCTCCGCTCAACCAAAGATGACGTTCTGTCACCACATATGTGGTGGAAAAACGCCTCCCACGGCTCAGGGTACAAGACTAGATGTGTTAGCCATGGCTGTTTGTCACCTCCTAAAAGCCAACAGTCCTACTCTGCCCAATGCTGCGACTATGTTTCCAAGGGAGCAAAGGGCAGCAGGAGTGAGCATCGGTGGCATCAGTCCTCTGGATGTGGGCTACGAAGGCGGTACATATCAGATGACTATGAAGAGAATCCATATGGGACTGAGCTCAGTGGGCATGCTCTGAATGGACACAGTGACAAACACGAGGCATTAGAAGAACAGAGCAGTCCAAGGGTGGTCATCAAGAAGGATGGTACTCTCAGGGTGGAGTTCACCAACTCTTCAGGCAACTCGCTCCTCCTGGGGGAGGCTTCTGGCCCTGTTCAGCTCCTTAAGTTTTCCCCAAATCTGGAGTCCAATTCCACTCCCAGCCTGTCTGGTTCCAATGGCATCAGGCAGGATGTCCACCACGGTGGTCCAGTACCAGCTTCTACCTCTTCCACAGCTAGAACCAGTAAAGGAAGCTCACTGAGCTCTGAAAGCTCCTGGTATGACTCTCCTTGGGGTCCCAGTACAGAACTCTGTGAGCAGGACCAACCTTGCTCTGCTAGCAGGACCTTAGTAAACTCCCCCATCCACCAGCTTGACTCATTTACAGAACATCCCACCTCTGCATTCATGAATGATCTTTACAGGGACTCTTCGATGGCTGCTACTTTCCCCGCAGCCAAGGACTTGTCTGCCCAGTTACAGCTGCCTCCGTCGGGGCGGAGAACACATCGAGCCTCAGTTGCCTCTGCTCTGGACGTTCCTTTGGAGGAGGAGTGCCTAGAATCCCACCAGTACTCATCGTATACCCTGCCTTGTCGCAGGCCCAAAGCACACACYATCAGTGAAGACATGAACCAAGAACAGGCAGGGCACCGGGAGAAGACGGGGCATGAACTCGTCTTCCAAAAGAAGCACTCCATTAAAAACCGCATGAGACGCTTCAGTGACTGGACGGGCAGCCTCACTCGCAAGAAGAAGTCATCTCAGGTGAGTTTGGACAACATGGATTTGCTCACATTTGTAGAAAAATAGGCCTAATAGGTACATGTTGTTTCAGTTATTTAGTTCTCTCCTTAGCAGGGTTTTAGGTAGGATTTTGGAGGAGGGGGGTTGACATTATAAGCCAAAATGCAAAAATGACTCAGCCTGCAACTGAAAATATGGATGGAGGACCTCAGCTTAGCCTGGTAGCCTTTGTGCTAGCACCAACGCTATTGCCTTATATGTATTAGCTCGGCACTAGCGCGACAAACTAACAAGCTAAACTGAGGTCCTCCATCCATATTTTCAGTTGCAGGCTGAGTCATTTTTGTGTTCCCCTCTCTGTCATGTGGATGGAGGACCACAGTGACAAGAGGAGAATGTGTAGCGCTGAGCTAATACGTATATATGGTGATAGCGTCGGAGTTAATGCTAAAGCTAACAGGCTAAGCTGAGGTTCTTCTTCCATGAAGCAGCTCTGTTGTCCTCCATCCATATTTTCAGTTACAGGCTGAGTCATTTCTACCTTCTCCTCTCTGTCAACGCTCTCTGGTTTCATTTAAAAGAGTCGATCATCAGATATTGTCCAAGATTAACCTTCAGGGTGGATATAGCTCGCTAGCAGCCTCGCAGCAAGGACCTATCCATGTCATCATTTACCCAGAATGCTTTGCGTGTAAATAAAATGGCTCCGTCCATGTAATATATTTTTAAATTTTTAGTTTAAAAATTATAAAAACTAAACAGCCTACAGTATTTTTACAGTCTTTATTTTACAGTAAAATAAATGTTTATCAAATAAAGTCTAACTAATCATGGATCCCTTTAAGACCTGCAGTGTAAACACAGCTTTAGTGTTGAATTTTCTCTCCTTTTTGCATGTTAGTTGCATGTTGGTGGTTTTTTAAGGTGTGTTAACATTGTTAACTTGATTGTTTACAGCGGGTTTTGAATATTTTGATCAAGCTGACATAAGAGAGAAGTAGGGATGGGCAATATTGGCAAAAAAATTAATCACGGTTAATTAGGGTATTTAGCCGATAACGATTAATTTGATGATTAATCCCCTGGAGTCCCTGGACACCCTTATGTCCTGGTCACATGACCAATTTAGTGGGAAAGATTTGCTCTTCAAAAAAAATCTTTTCCAAATTCTGTCAAAATTACAGACTTCAGGCTATACATCAAATTTTAAATTGTGTTGATAGATAAATAAATTTCATAACTTTCTTTTTAATGTTCGTCATATTTGAAGCGTAGAGGAGCACAGAGTGGACTCTGCCTGGTGGCATTAATCATATTAATCATCAAGTTCACAAAAAATATTGGTTGCTTTTCTGACGATTAATTGCACACGATATGATTACCCTATAATAAATGTTGTAGTATCATTTTCCCCAGGAGAAAAATCCTGCTTGAACTGCACAGGCATGGGTCAGAAGAGAGATTACCGTTAATGACAACCCTCCTGCATACAGCTCATAATTGTTTGAAAGAGACTTGTGATTTTTATTTCTGCAGTTTCTACGATTTTCCTGGGCATATTTCGACAGAAAGCATTTGTATGAACTCAACTTGAACCCATGTCCCTTTTTTGTTCTTGAGGCTTGTAAGCATTTGTTTCTGCATTTAATTCTTTTAGCCTTGCCTTGTAGAACGTTTGGGAACGATCTTAGGGTTTTTGCCCAGAGAAAAGCTGTAAGCCTTTGGGAGGCACTGCAGAGTGAAACTAAATCCAAACTGAAGATTGAACCCAACCTCTCCTCTAATGTTAATGAAGGAATTTTGGCTGTGCGCAGATTTTCTGGGTTCCTCTCACGTTCCTCAGAGAGTAAATCTTCAAATGGGGATTTTGCGCTCAGTCGGTTGGATGTTGCAGCAAAACAACTGAAAGAATAGAACAATTACAGTATTCAGAAGGCATTTTCTTCTGTGCAGGTTTAGGAATTTGTGAGCTGCTTGAGCTTTGTGCTCAAACAACAGATAATCCTAAAGAAAATGCGCAACATACTTTGCGCTGGCACAGATTTCCACCTCTGCAGCAACAAACACGCCTGCCAGTCAGGCATTTGTTTATTCTCCTAAATATCCAACTGGCCATTTGTTGGTGCTTAACTGGTTTTTGTGGTGCATGCTAGAACCTGTCTGCAGAAATCCTGAAGAAAAACAAAAGGATAAGGCTTATTCATTATTACTGACGGGGTTAAATGCTTAGCATTATTCAGTGTGGGAAAAATCTCACAAGGCAAAAAAAAATTAGCCTATATACGTGTCATTTATGTATTGTCACAGTGCCTCTTTTCAGCAGATCTTCTAAAACCAGAAGCACCTCCTGCAACTGGTTTTGTTTGACCTGAACCTGTGGATTGAAAAGGTCAGGCTGTGACCCTGATACCAAAGACCAAGAACCGCRTTATAATAAAAAACAGGAGCAGGTAGAGAGGAAAAGCAGTAAATCTGGGATGTGCCATATTATTGGAAACTATGGAGATCCTGGGAAATACCCATCATGAAAACAGTGCTTATTCATACAGATGTTCCTATAAATGTAGTTTTTCATGGTAGCAGATGGACATCCTGGCGTATAAAAGAAAATACTATGTGTGTTTGACATGAGCTGTGCACTGTTTAGTTACAGTGTGTTAAAAAAATAAAATTCCCTTTTTTAAAATATGAAAAACGATGCAGTAAAAATCAACCTAAAACAGATCAAGACGTAAATCTGAGTGTGACTTGAAACAGACTTCTTATACTGACAGCACAAACCGAGCGTCTGCTTGTTGAGAGTGCTTCGCTCTGCTGCCGGGGGGGTGGGGAGGATCGATGATGCAATCTAGTCAAGTGTAGGTAGGCTGTGATTAAGGATGAAAGGGTGCAATTCCATCAAGTGTTCACTTGCAGAATCAGGAAGCTACGTCGAGACGTCAAATRTCGTGAAATCGTCTGAGCCTGGAGGGTTCCAGCCAAGCAGGTGCCCTCGCTGGAGTTTTGTCCCACTTTCTCAGCTTCCTGAAATATTCAGTGACTCTGAAGTAGGTTTGAGTTCACTCGGTTTTCAAGTTTTTCAGCACCTCTGCGCTAATTGAAATAAATATATTTAAATTCTCTCCCGTTGTATTCTCACAGGAGTCTGTAGAAGTGGGAGAGAAATAGGATGTGATGTAAAAGACGTTTAATGACATCTCCATTTTAGGCTTGTTATAGTTGTCATAATAATCTGATCACTTCCTATGTCCTCACTTCCTCCACCTCTTCAGGAGACCAGGCACAAGGACCTGAGCGACGCCTTCGACAGCGGAGTCGATGGCCTGACTACAGAGACCAGCTCCCCCTCTCAGGTCTCCAGCGTCCTCTGGTTCCCTCGAGCCTCCAGGGCTCAGTCTTCGGGAGCCATTCACCAAACGACCAGCGATGCTCTTCGCCAGAACATCTACGAAAACTTCATGAGAGAGCTGGAGACGGGAGCCGGGCAAGGAGGAGATCGAAGAGACCCGTCCACGGGCACGGAGGAGGACTGGAGCAGCAGCGAGTCGGCCGAGGGCTCCCTGGAGCAGCTGGAGATTTTGTTCGAGAAGGAGCAGGGGGTGGTGAGACGGGCCGGCTGGCTCTCCTTCAAACCTCTCGTCACCCTGCACAAGGACAGGAAGCTGGAACTGGTGACCCGTCGCAAGTGGAAGCACTACTGGGTGACTCTGAAAGGTAAACTGTAAATTTCAACCAGATTGATCYGGTCTCGTGACTTTCCAGACCATAAATTTGTCTTCGTCTCCAGGGTTACTATAGTTAACTAGAACTAACCAAATAACAAAAACTGAAATTGAAAAAAAAAACAACATTTTAATAAACTAAAATAAATAAAAACTGTAATAAAAAAGAAAAAAATGATAGCTAACTGAAATTATAGGTAGAATATCCTTAGTTTTAGTGTTTGTCAATTTATTTTGAGCCATGTGGATATTTTATTTTGTGCTCACACAAGATGGCTAACTGACTTACTTGACACGCTAGCTTCTCTCAGTAGCTCCCATGAAAAACAAGCAACAGGTAGCAGTGAGTCGGAGACAACTATATTGTCATCGTCCTAAAATAACCGCCCAAGTCCTTAGTCGGCTAAATTGAGTTACGCAATTATTTTAGGAAGGTGTCCCTATAATGGACTGCTTTAACTAGTGATCAAATAACTGTTGGTTAGTTAACTCCCAGGAACATCACAAGCTGGAGGATGAATTGGCAAATATGTTTAATAAAACTATTAAATTAACTAATACTAGAACTAATAAAAACTAAAAAATAAATAAAACTAAGCATTAAAAATGCAATAATAACTAATAAAAACTAGCTAATCCACGCTAAAAACTAATTAAAACTAACTGAATAAAAGAAAAGTCACAATGAAATAAAACTAAACTATAATGAAAAATCCAAAACTATTATAACCTTGTATCATTCCTACGTCTTCGTGTGTCTCCATCTTTTCAGGATGTACGTTGCTGTTCTATGAAACATACGGGAAAGCCTTTGCAGAGCAGGACCTGTCGCCCCGCTACGCCCTTTTGGCCGAGGACAGCATTGTCCAGGCTGTTCCCGAACACCCGAAGAGGGAAAATGTCTTTTGCCTGAGCAACTCGTATGGAGACGTGTATCTGTTCCAGGTAGGGCTCAGCTCAATGTGTGTTTTAATCATTGCTGCAGTACTGTGTTACACTATAGAAGTGAAAAGGAAAACCAATTAACCAGTGTGGTGAGTTCTAACAGTTAAATGACTGTGTTTTCATATGTACCTTTTTTATTCAGGCAATCTTTCATTGAACAACATTCTAGCTTGCACCAATGATCTTTTAGTAATATAACCATGTAACCAGTTTGAAATCTTTGTCGAGCTTCTGATTATTTTTTTAATTAATGGAATATTGGTCTCAACACTTCATCAAATGGTCATTTTTCTTCGCTCTTTAAGGCCAGCAACCAGACAGATCTGGAAAACTGGGTGACAGCCATCCACTCTGCGAGCGCCTCGCTGCTCGCCAAGCGCCAGGGGAAGGAGGACACTGTGCGTCTGCTGCGGGGCCAAGTGCGCGCCCTGCTCCAGAAGATCGACATGGACGGGAAGATGAAGAAGATGGCCGAGCTGCAGCTGACCGTAGTCAGCGACTCTAAAAACCGCAAGGCTATTGAGAACCAGGTGATGTTACCTGAATCGACTAAATCAGCATCACTTAAACCTTTTGATGTCACGTCTGGAAAGTGGGGTAATATTTGCTGATTTATTTTTTTACAAAACTCTTCTGCGTGCCGTTGTTCCACATCATGTGTGTAATTACCATGTCATGCGCTCCACTTAATTCTCCTGATTTGGCGACTGCGGTGACAGTTTGGTGCTTTATTTTCGTCTGTGGGTGGGTGAAGTGGCCCAAATGCATCAGTCTCCCCAAGCGCATAGCGAGGGGCCCAGGGGAGCAGCTTGTTTCTGGAGCATCAGATTGGGATTCCAGATGTGTTCTGGTAATGGGCTCGCAACATGAATTATCCTAGTCCTCCTCTTCGAAACAGCCTGGGGTTTTTTTTTTGGGGGGGGGGGATCCAAAGCAGTCAGCGGTGCACTGTAGCTGATATGCAGCAGATTACAGCGGGGCAGGGAAAAAAATTAACGAGCACTAATTCGCTTACGAGAAATTAGTGTTGGTTATGGAATGCGGGAAAATCCAGCTGCTTTTTTATACCTGCAGCTCAGGTTAGTCACATTTTTTTTCTATTTACTTCCCAAAGGAACGGCATATCGTGAGGATATTCACCGCTGATGGTGTTTAATAACCAAAAGAGCACTTAAGCTTTCACCTTAATGTGTTGCAGTTTTCGCTTAAATGTCAAGGCAACGTGAGTGGAAACACATTTTTTTTACGAGAAACCACCCAGATAAATGCAGCAATGACCAGTGGAGATGTCACCGCCTAAGTAACAGACCGACTTTGCTGACGTCTGTTTCCAATTAGCCGACATGCCACCTCAGAGAGACGCGACGGAGCTGGAGTGAATGATAGGGTCAGAAGTGGGATGGGACGGGACTCTGATAAAGGCGCCTCGAGGCTGATGAGAGATTTAAGGTTTCTGTGGGGTTGTCTAGCGCCAGCAGGGCACTACTTTGATGTCCCTGTCTACCCCCCCCCCCCCCCCATGTCTACTGAAATCAGTGCCAGTAAGACCTTGTTTGAAGTTTGCCTGCATATCACACACATGCACACGGCTTGATCAAGTTGCAGTGCAGGACTTAACGGTTTTACTGCAAGCAAGAGGCAAACGTGGAAAACAATACTTCAGCTTAAATGTTTCTGGATGTTAATAAGTTGTGAACAGAAGCTAAATGGGCTGAAACATGCGTTTTACTGCTGCTGGTTGAATGTTTCCCTGCCTGGTACGTAAAGCATAAAAACAAAATGTCATGCATGCAGCTATTTCAGGGGGGTCTGAAATGGGGACACAAAAATATGACATTAACATCAAATTCCAGATGTAAACATAAACAGTATTTTCCAAAACATTGCAAAATCTTTGTTTTGAGGTGTTTTATCAGATCTTGTTTCTTCTTCAGCATCTTTATCCGACTGAAATACAAAACAAAGTGCTTTTTTATGATGCATATTCAGATTTTTTTTAGTTTACATAATATTGATGTTTTAGGCAAACAGCAAATGTCCTTTTTATATCAGTTTTGGTGCAGATCAATCAATCAATCAATCAATCAATCAATCAATCAATCAATCAATCAATCAATCAATCAATCAATCCTTTATAACACTTTACACACCCCAAGGCAACCAAAGTGCTGCACAGCAATCTAAAAATGATGATGATGCCTTTATTGTCATTGTTTGGAGCACAATGAAATTACATTTAAGAACACCCGTTCAAGAAGACACGCATGACAAAAACATGGGGTGACAGGTGATCAGGTCATGCGGTAACCAGCAGGGGTCGCGCTACCAGAAAAACGAAATACCACACAAGGATAGATGAGGAAAAAACAAAACAAAACATCATACTATTATATACACGAAACATGACACACTGTGGTGTTTATTTAAAAAACCTCTGCAGAGCATGAGCACGTGTCCAAAGAATCTAGTCCCCCCTCCCAAATAAAAAAAAACATAGTTCAGCCATAGTTCAGAATAATGATGCTGAATTGTTCATTCTGTGCGGCCTTCAGATTGTCCTTCAGAGACCAGATTACAGAAATACAGTACAGTAGCATAAAAAATAATACCGTAGCATAAAATCATGCAAGCGATCCACACACACAAAATTAAAAAAAATTCTTTAAAAAAAGGACGATGTGCTCTCTGGCATTAAAAGCCAAACCATAAAGATATAAGTCTATTAAAGAGATTTTAATTCATTAGGGGTTCTGGCTGACCTCACAGAAAGTGTTCCAGAGTTAGGAGCTCCCACTGACGAGGCTCTATCCCCCTCAGTTACCAGTCGAGTCCTAGGAACCACCAAGAGCATCTGGTCTTCTCTCAGAGCTCTACCAGGATGATAGACGTGAATAAAACAGAGAATTTTTGCTAGGTTTAATCATAAATAACCAAATGCAACGTATTTTTAAGAAGAAAAATGGCTGATCTTATGTCTGAATCTATAATCTGTGAATGACTCACAGCCTAACTTTGCCCACCTGCTCAGTTCCATACATCGTTATTCAGAGTGTATTAGTCCCACAGTAATTTCTCTCTTAAGCCTTTGACTTGTTTGTTTAAGATGCTCATAAAATCCACCCCCCCCGCCCCACTTCACAGTTTGTTCCTAACCCTGAAGAATGCAGTCAATGTGAACAAGACCTGATGGGACAACGCTGTAGGCTCTGTTATAGTCGGTGAAGTCATAGTGCAGACGAGACCTATTAAAGTCACTTGTTATGGAGGGTTGTTTAACAGGAGTGCACTCGTTAAAACCAGTCTCCAGCTAACAAAGTAGGCCCTTTCCCATAGCCTGCATAGGGCAAGAAGGAAGAAAGAGGAGGAAATGTAGTGAYGGGTGGTCTGTTCAATGTTCTCTCAATAAAAATATGCATTTAGATTTATTGTTCATAGAAAAGCACACTCCATTGCATGATATGCAGTCATTTGTCACAATCCAACTTCCACCAWGTCTCAGTTTTACCCTCCACCACCATCTGCAAGCAATTACACTGAACAAAAGCACATTTCTGACCCAGGATCCTTTTTCGACCCCCACCCTCCCACCCAAAGTATTCCTACCTCAGACATCACCTTAAAAAATTTTAAAAACAATTTAAAAAAAAATCAAAGTAACATTTACTGTCGTCCTCACAGATTCAACAATGGGAGCAGAACCTGGAGAGGTTCAACATGGACCTGTTCAGGATGCGCTGCTACCTCGCCAGTCTTCAGGGGGGAGAGCTGCCAAACCCAAAGAGCCTGCTGGCCATCGCCAGCCGGCCCACCAAAACCACACTGGGACGCCTCGGGGTCTTCTCTGTCTCCTCCTTCCACGCACTGGTGAGGAAACCAGAAACAGACGTCACAGATGAACAACTGAAGAGCTGATTGGGGAATGAAGAATCAGAAAAGCAGCACTGTGACCCTTGTTAGCTKTGAAGTGATGCTTTCTGCATGCGACCCTTCATTTAGCGTTTTAACTGCTGTGTAACAGTAACTTAGAAAATCCTAATTGTTTGCATGTCCCRTGATGTTTTCCCTTTATTCCTTTTTAAAGAAAGAAAATAAACTACAYGTGATGGTTTGATTAGCTGGAATTTAGTGGTGATTGGCGTCTTGGTGCTGTTRTCAGATCTGCTCCAGAGACGAGGCCACAGCCAGGAGGCGCTCGTTGTCCCTGACCTGCCGACAGCGCAAGAGGGGCCTGTTTTCCTCTCTTAAAGGCCTGGACAACCTTACCAAGAGGGGGCGGGACAAGAGAGCCTCTGCATCGCAGGTACACARGTCACTCTGTCAAATCTGAGTTTCTTATTGATTAACCTCTTATTTAACACAAAAATCCCATTGAAAATACAGATTATTTATTTTTAAAGTGATTATCTTTTTATGCAGTGTGTAAATCCCAGAGCAGTGACACACTTCAGGCAGTTTTGAGTAATATTTGCTCTTTTTCTGTATTCAGCAGCAGGAAAACAAAGAAATCCACATGCAGACGTTTCTTAGCGTGTGTGCAGACAGTGTTGACATGTATCTTGTGGAGGCAAAAATCAAGATATATAGCCTCCCCCAAGTGCATTTTGTGCCTATTTGTTAATGAAACAACCTGAAACCATGCTGCCATTTTGCTTACACGCTCTTTCAGCACATTTTCCCCTGCAGGGGGGTGGAGGGGGCTTTATTAATTAAAAGCACACCCCTCCAGCTTTCCTCCACATATGACTGCAAACCTCTCATCAGCATAAACACATGGGAGCGTTCTTTACCCAGGTGCAGAAGGGGAAGTCTAAAGCCTCTCAGGTTAGTAATTAGAGTCATGCAGGACGCCTTCTGATTGGTACAGAAATCTACCACTCGACACCTTCTAGGGCCATGGAGAATACTCAGGAAGCTAAGGTTTGCTCGTGTACTTCATGAACCTCTGGTCTTAAGTCAGGAAGCGAGGAAAAGAGACTCACATCACCTCGGCCTGGCCTCTTTATTATCTCASTCTGAGCTACAAGTTAATCAWATTCTTCCTTTTGGTAGCTGTGATTCCTGCCTGCTTACAATACTGTATATTCCCCCGTCCTGGTTTCCTCCTCGTTTATCCCACCACCTGCTGTGTGATATTTATGTTTATGCATTSGCGCACGTCTGTCAGGATCTAGGTATGCAGGTTGTTATTTTATTWTWWTTTTTTCCGCGGAGCTCCAACCGGCCGGCTTAATGAGGCGCGGTTACGTTTCGTGCTGCAGAGGGCCGAGGTGGCGCTGCGGCGCGCGCATGAATAATTAAAAGCCCCGTGTGGTCGATGGCGCTCTCCCCTCTCTCCTCAGTCCCGCAGACACCAGCAGATGGCTGCTGTAAAGACGCTTAAAATTAAACTACCCCCTTTTTTTGTTTTTTTTTTACTCCTGGGTTTAAGCTCTTTTTAATGTTTGCTTGTGTTTTTTTGCTTAAGAAGACCCATAATGGCTTCAGAATGCTGCTTTTTAYGTTTTTTTGTTTTTATGAGGAGTGAAAAATCATCGCAGTGCTGAATATCTTTTGCTCTTTAAGGGAAATTTAATTCGGCTGTGACCATTTTTAAACCATATCACCAGCTTGTGGGTTGTCCACCGATGTGGACCGCAGGGTTGTCTCATGACCAGTCGTAAAGTAACTAAGTACAAATATTTTGTTACTGTACTTAAGTAGAATTTTTGGGTATCTGTACTTTACCCTAGTAATTATTTTTCAGCATACTTTTTACTTTTACTCATTACATTTTTACACAATTATCTGTACTTTCTACTCACTAAATTTTTTAAAAAGGTAAGAAGTAGAAAGTCGTTACTCCTATTTTATTCCAAGTTGTTATTACTTAAAAAATACTATCCTGATAAACTGTGTCTCCTATAGAGTGAATTTAATTGTGTTTGGATGAGAAGTATAAAAATATACCATTCTGACACACTATTAGCTTGTACACAACCCATCACAGCTGCACGCTGTTAGAAAATATATTTTTTAGAGAAGTCACCTCCCAGTAAATGTCATTTTGGAAAATCTAACGGCTCACTTTTACTCAATACTTTTACTTTTAATACTTAAGTAGATTTTGCGTCAGAAATTTACTTTTGATACTTAAGTACAAAAAATATCAGATACTTTGTCTTTTACTGAAGTAATATTTTTAGAGAAGACTTTAACTTTTATGAAAGAATTTTTATGATAAGATACTTGTACTTTTACTCAAGTATCACTTTGAGTTACTTTATACAACACTGCTCGTGACCCGCTCTCTCCATACATAAGTACAAAAAATATCAGATACTTTGTCTTTTACTCAAGTAAAATTTTTAGAGAAGACTTTAACTTTTACTAAAGAATTTTTATGATAAGATACTTGTACTTTTACTCAAGTATCACTTTGATGTACTTTATACAACACTGCTCGTGACCCGCTCTCTCCTTCATACATTTAAAGTTTTCTGCTTCTTTTTATCAAGATATCCTCTTCTTTTACCCTTCATTTTGCCCTCCATTAATCTCACTCACCCCACTTTAAGCACACTATCTTTCAGCTTTTTATTCAGCATATTTAAGATCTTGAATTTTTATCTCGTTTTTTTTCCTCCCTCATACATCACATCATCCCCCCACCCCCCTGCTTTTATACTAACTCCGGCTCTCAAACCATTTTCTCCCTCTCTTACAATTTCCATACTGACTCATCTATGTTGACTAAGCCTAAATCCCATTTGCCACTGCGCCGCCGCGCTCCACAACTTTGCCCCAAAGTCATGCTCCACCCCCCACCGTCTTTCCTCTTTCTGTTCCCTCATCAGTCTTTCGCAAAGCCACAGTACGGAGCTGGCCATCAGTCAGCTGTAGGGAATAGGCCAAGGTCTGAGGATTTGTGGGAGTGTTGGGGAGGTGGGGGAAGTGTTCTAAAATAAGACGGTTTACGTCGAAACAGCACTGTTTATAGCCAATTTATAAATGAACTTGTGCTGAGGAGGAGGACGGCCTGCAGACCAGAACTCTGCCTTCCAAATTGGATACTAGAAAGTTTGATTTTTTTTTTCTATATCATCTTGAGACGTTTTAATCTGCAGTTTACGTGCCACCTTGAGCCAATCCCGAAGCAGGAGTTTTCAGCAGTGAAGGGTAGCTGAAGAGGCAAGGAGAGGAGGAGGGGGAGAGCGCTTGTTCTCTCCTCTCATCTGCAATCGAACTGTTAC